AATTTCACTGGGGTTCTACGGCAGTGTCAGCGACTTTCACAAAATTTTGTTTCAAAGCAAGCAATAGAAAAATCAATAGCTTTAGGGTATAGGCACAAGTTTTAGGATTCCATATTAACACTGACATGCAAGTAATGGCCTGTATCACACCTGTAATTTACTGAACACAATTCTTCCCTCTTAGCATTTAATTTAGAATCAAGAATGTACATTTTTTTAATGGAAAATATTCAAATGCAGCTGCCTAATACAAGTTATAAAATTTAAGGAGGAGTCTAAAATGAGGCGAACAAAACACTAAAATGTTGTTCCTACTAAATAAAACACTAACATGGCAAACAAAAAAATGTCAATTGTAGTCTTATTTAGAGTCGCCTGCAAGTCAGTAGATTGGCCACGACTACACTCTGGTAACAAAAAGCCATGGAACACTCACAAAGCCAAAGTAGTATAGAAAAAGAAATATAAACTATGTAATCTCTTATTACATGCGTACAAAGCGTGCTCTCAATCCCGTATACAATGGACCAGAACAAATTCATAAAAATGCTTCAAACACTTATTACTTTTTTCATCACCACAAACTTGTGGGAAAGCACGGATCAGGGCAACGGTTTCAATGCAACTACTGACAATTACGAGTTTGTTACTTCCAACCCGATAAAAAAGGAGTAAGGTTATTACAACTGTATTCTCTAAAGCAATAAATAAAGTCATAAATTCAATTCAATTCAAAGTAACTGAGGCAAACAAAAGCTACCACTTCCTTGAACCAGAACACGATTTTCAACGATTGTCAATCCCTACTACCATCGTCTTCAGCGGTGCAAACAAAAAAGCAAAGTTCGTTCAACACTGGCCCCAGGTGCATTCCTACGGCTATCACCCACATGACCTCATAAAACTTCTAATTTCCAAATGGATGAACATACCAAGGGTACTACTTGATGTCTCTGGATACACAATGCATTCACATACATGTAAACTTGATGTAGAACTGCCTGGGCGACGCCATCTAGTCCACAACTAAGGCCTGGTTGGCAGTCGTGCAAAATGCCACGTAATGAGAAATCCAACAGTTATGAACTTGAAGTTCAAACAACGTTAACGTCTTAATAAGGTTAATATGTGATCGTTAACTGCTTTGAATCACAAATTGTAAATTTACTTTACTAGGTGTGCGTACATATTGATCTAGCGATATAGTGATTAAATACATACCCACACCTTGACTCGGACATCGCCAAGTATTTAATAAAAATCTTACTATCTCGTACTTAGTAGGCATTGGTTCCAATTTTCACCCCCTTAGCCATCTCCCCTAGGGCAAGGCTAACCAGTAAAAATTATACGTTTTCAAATCTTATAAATCACATGGCTCACATGAAAGTACAATGAACTAGGACACTTGTGAAGTGAACATTTTACTGAAATGTATTTTTTAAAGGTAAATTAAAAACAAATTAATATTTTAGAGTCACACTTCAAAAGAAGAATTTATTTGCAACTAAATATGCAACCTGGAACTGAATAAAATATTGGGGTCATTTCATGTCGAGGCTTTTCTTAGTTTTTTTATTAAACTAAACACAGGATTTGCAGATCACGCAAGTTTTTCTTAAAAAATGGAAATAACATACAAGTCTGTAATTTAATAAACTGCTAGTAGTCTATATTAAGTTCAAGGACATGTCCTTCTCATGATCATTGAAACATTTGTAGCACGTTGCTCTGACTCACAAACAATGCGACAATTAGTCATCGTTGATTTCATTCACATGGCGCTACCAAACCCTGCTCCACGACAGCAAATAGTTTTCGGTTAAAACACTACCAATGGCTCGAGTAAAGGTCCAGTATCCTACCCACCTTAAATAGGGTTAAACACGTTGCCAGGGATGATGATGATCTAGCTGATTACAGTATGATCACTGCCCCCTACTTTCGGCCGAGTCATGAACTTCTAATCTTGGCAAACTGTTGACTCTGCTTAGCAAACAGAAGAATCCATGTACCTACCCGTACTATAGACTCCAAATACAAATTTAAATATCAATAAATTCATCTCCTCTATGGAAACTATTCATCTTGTCCACAAAAGGTCATGCCAAATACACAAATTACAAGAGGTTGGTAGGGAATAAAAAACAAAAAACGATGTCCACACCAAATTTAGGAGAACCAACTCTGCCTTGAACTTGTATCCCCTGAACCTGACCTCTTGAAATCAAGATGGCATTTATCAGGCAGGTAATTTATCTTAATAAAGTGTAAGTATGTGGCACATGTTTGAACTACTGACAACAAAAATACACAATGAGCAATGAAAATGACACCATGTTTAGCCACAATGAAAAAAACCGCTGTGATTTTTTTAAAAATACAATTCCAGCATTTTTGTACTGCGAGTTGAAAAGTTCATAATACCTTACTAGCCGGCAGATGACCTTTTTTTCAATTATATTTACTCTGGGAAAAATAATATAATTGCGATAAAATGCTGTAAAAATTTCAACAAGTCAGAGCGAAAAATTTTAAGCGCATTCTGTAACCTGTAGAAATTTGAGGGATGTCGAGTTTAAGGTCATGTTAAGGTCACGGGCCTAAGTTGGGCCATTGTGATATCAGCCGGCCTCAATGGCCTCATTTTTAGATTAGATTTGACCTCGAAAAAAACTTGTCAGTTTTCAAGCTACATCCATTTTGTTCACGTTATTCTATTTGCGAGGTATGTTTATATTCATCTAAGCTATCAAAACTACTCATAATCGAATATTTGAAGAAATAAGGCTGCCACAAAATCGTGGAAATACTCAAATTCAACCATTAAGATCATGTACATGGGCAGGGCGTGGTGGACACAGCGTTTTAAATACGTGACCTCCAATTCATTCGCCTAGAAAAATTGAGAAATACATCGACGACACCTATAAATAACATAAATAACAACACTTACGTCAAAAAAACTACTTGGAACAGGTGCAACATAAACAGGGTAGGGTCGACTGCACGATGTGGGTTTTTTGAGCGGTCGGGCCTAACATCAGTAATACAACAACTGACCTTACCACTAATGCAGTTGGAATACCACACATCACCCCCGCAAAAAAAAATAACTTTTGTGTCATAGTTAGTGGATGAGTATTTCGTGAATTATGAATCGTTTGAAAAATTGCCAGCGTGGGTTTGTGATAAGAGACTTGATGTACGAGAAAGTTACCTGTTTATAAAGAGGAGCACACATCGGTGACGAGTGAACGAACAGCACAGACACATGGCAGTAGAGCGCGATGCTGATGTGACCTCACACAAGTGAGGTTGTTACACTTGTCATACAACCTAGTCAGCTGACCCACCGCCCACCCACCATACGGCTGTTCCATCCAATGACCAACGTGAAGGGAAACGGTCATGTCAGATGAAATAAATATTCAAATTTGACATTTTTAGATCAAATTCAATCACATTTGTAATAGCATCAATCCCAGCAAAATACATGTATAGTACCAGTTTAACATTTCGCTAACGGTAGTGCTTTCACAAACTCCCTCAGCAAAACAAAAACATGCAAAAAATTACGAACAAAAACTGAAATATTTAATTTATTGAATAAATTTATTATATTCAAATAACAAAAAGAGGTAAAATGTATGTTAAAAAAATGAATAGTGAATTATTGTTCATAGTTCAGCTTAAGTTCAATATGACCTTGATATGTTGGAGATGGAATGTCACATTTGCAAGATGGGTATTTTTAATCACAAAAATGTTTTTTGTTTATAGAAAACGAAAACGCGGGAGAAGTAGCTTTCATATTATTACAATTTTAGTTGCTGATATTTTCTGTTTTTTCACACTGAATTTGATAATAAAATGAAATATACATAATATCGGACAGATTTATTATTATTACATGCCATCGGCTATTACCATACGCGAGTCATTTGGTTATTGTAATAGCGAAAGAAAACTTGATGTGCATATAACCACACTGGCAGTCCCTCTATACATGTGATATAACATTGTTCTAAAAAAAGTGGTAAATAATATAGTCAACCATAACCAACTTTCTTCTGTGTTGCAAAAATATATTTCGAAACAATCATGCAAAATTGCTATTTTGGTGTCAATTTTTCCACCATAAAACAATGATATAACATCATTTTAATTAAAAAAAA